GAGATTATTAGGGCTGTGTAAAGTGATCTTGCACACAGCTGATTACAGTAATTTGGTGCAGCTTTTCTGGAAAGCAATTTGGGAAGTGTCTTAAAGATATTTTTATATTTTATCCACTAATTTTACTTATGAAAGTCATGCTTTGACAATCTGATACAGGTAGGATATTTCTTGTAACTAGTTTCCTGAAAGAGTAAACTGGAAGTCTTTAATTATAATGTAGTGAACAAATTAATTTATAGCTACATGATGGAGTAGTATATAATTAAAATTGTGTTTGAAAATAAGTATTTCATGGCATAGAAATTGATCATAATATATATGGTTTTCAATAATGCTAGCATGAAGTAAAACTTTAGAATTCTAGTTTCATGAAAATAGTATATACAAAAAATAAGTATAAACAATGGACAAATTTTATTTTCTTTTATGTTCTTTGATTTTCCACTGTTTGTATAATAAATATTAGAATCTATTTTAAAGTATATTCAAAGAATGAAAAGGAGAAGATAAAGCCTTTTTTCTTCTTGTAGTGAATTATTTTCTTAGAGAATATTGATTTAACTCCTTAGTTTCTCCTATAGTTATCATATTTAAACGTCCCTCTTCTCAAAGGTTTTGCAGTACTACTAACGAATAAAAGTTTTGCAGCACTATATAATGAATAAAATGATAGAAGAGCTCCTAAGATAGAAAGACCAGTGCATCTAGCTCAGGCCCTTTTCAGATAGATAGATAGATAGATAGATAGATAGATAGATAGATAGATAGATATAAATATACTACAACCTGCATTTCAAATAAGATGACTTTCTCCTAGCAAACAGTAATGAGATATGAAAAACTTATCAGTGAATTCTTTTGTCTTCACCAACCAGGGGAAATAAATTTGTTGGAGGTATAATTTCAACAACAAATTTCCAATAAAATCTTGACTCTTCAGTGATAGAGGAGGGGCATTAGTTGATTAATTAGAATTTAAGTGATTTTTACAAGTCAGTATTTATATTCTTACAGTACAAAGAACCAGAAAAGATCTGACAGTGCCAGATGTATTTTATTCCCAATGGATGTTCACTTGGGAGTATAGCTTCATAGCTGGAACTCAACAGTTTTTGCTGGTTATTTGTTGAGGTGTCAACAAATCGTGAGGCCTTTATGAGCTACATTTGCTTTATCTGTAAAATGGAGCATTGGGCTCGGGTGAGTCATTTTTTGATCTGTGCCCAACTAGAAGCTCTGGGGAAGCAGGCACTAGAGTTTTGGATAATGGATCTGGAGGCCCTGCCTAGTACTGGTCATCCAACAGTACCTAGTGACTCTGGTTGGATTTATGACTAGGTATCCTGGGGAGCCTGGCCTAGGCCTTGGACTGCCCAGTAGAATTTCTTGTAGTGTGATTAGGCTTGTGTTTGCTTTCCATAGTGAGTAGAAGTTTTCGTTAAAGCATTAAAGAATTATTTTACAGATGAAAGTAAGACTTGAAATCTCTGGTGATCATTTATGTTACTATCTTTGTCTATGTTAAAGCAGTATGAACAATGAATCACAATGCTGTTTGAGGTCTGTGCATTACTAAAGTCTCTGATACAGCTATGTGGAAATCCTGTTTATTGCAGCAAGAGGGATGGACTGTGCTTTGACAGGTGGATCAGAGATAACTGGGAGAGAAAAGGATGACAGGGCCTAGCAGTCAGAGGGTATTATGTGTGAGGAGTTGCTAGAAAACTTGGCAAATTCAGAGAGATGAGATGTGTGTGGCTGGAATGTGATATCCTGGAAAAGCAGTGAGGCTCAGGCGGGCCTCTTATCAAAAAGTATCGTATGTGTTTGGTGAGAACTTTGGCTTTCTTGGTGGAAAAGCAAGACATCAGATGTTTTGAGAAAGCAAATATAATATGATCGCATTTAACATTACTAAGTGTTTTCTACCCATACCCTTGAGATTAGACTTTCAAAGACCAAGGGATATCTGTGATACCACTAGATCTCGATTTTCATGGATATCATAAATAACAAAATATTTTTATTTTCATAGCATCACATTCATTTTTTAGAGTTCCTTAATACAGTTCCATAACTCTTTCAAAGGGAACATTTACAGCTTGTTTTTAATTAAAATTCTACTTTGGTAGTATTTTCATGTTTAAAAAAGGAGAAATAATAAACTATGGAGACAAACAGAAATCACCTTTAACTGTAATATTTTCTTCTGCTGTTTGTTGATAACTGTGAGAGACCCTTTAGGGAGGTGAGCTAGCCGGAAGAGAATGGATATGACATTCAAGGCAGAGTACTTTGAAATGGGGACCAATGGGCTGTGAGGTTTATCGTGCGTGATAATTTGACTCTATCACTTCAATATAAATTTTACCTTGCCTAAGAAAGTTACTAATGCCTTCATGTCCAGGATAAATAACCATATGCCTGTAGTCTGATGACAGGCACAGCATGTCAGACACGCGTTCTGTCTAGGGATAGAAGCAGGTTGCCAGTGTGTGTGTGTGTGTGTGACTCTAGGGGGTCTATTTTAACTTAGTTTTAACTTGTCACTTTGTGGAATCTGGATATACGTCTGTACCATCAATCAAAATAAAAAATGAACCCATGTCACAGTGGAGTGAAAAAAAGAGAAGAGATGTATTGAAATATAATACAAATCTTAGGATATGTCACTAAATAGAGTATTCTAAATATTGGAACAGTTCATGTACAATCTGAATAATGAAAGAAATAATTAGAAGAACATAAAATAATGACTGCTGTAATGAATTTTCAATGATGAAAGTCCTACATGGTAAATAGAATCAGAGCAATCTATTTTCCCATTAAGCCATTTAATGTAATGTTCATCTATGTATGTATTTGTAATTTTTTTCCTCCCTAGCTCTAATTTCATTTTAAACTTGTGAGAAATAGTAACAAGTGCTTGGATATCTTCATAGTCATGTGAATATATTTTTAAAATTTTATCTAGAAACTTATCAAACAGCTCCAATGCAGTCTTTAGGAAGGAATGGAAAGTGAACAAAAATGCTTTTCGTAGAAAATTACAGCAGCAATAAAGTGTAGGAACTCACAAATTTAGAATATAGCATTTCTTCAGTCTTGGCTATGTGTAGCTAAAATGGGCTAAACTCATGCTCTTTCAGTTGATTTTGTCTGTGATCTTCTAACAGAAGGACTGTTATTATCCTCATTCACAGATGAGGGATTAAACAACATTCCTTAGGCTATAGAAGTACAGAATGATAGCTATAAACACAGATTTGTTCCTGTCAGATTGGTCTCATGATCGTGTGCCAGAAGTCATTGGAAACCACAGGCAGCACAGGCTTCAGTGTCCCCCTTCCCACTGTATTGTAATTGTCCCAGTATTTGTCTAATTCCTGCATACATGGTTGGCTCCTCTAGGCAAAGATGATTGCCTTATTTGTTTTTCCACTTCTAGGGATTTAACACAACAGCAAGACCCATAGTAGAAGCCCTGTAAGGGCCTATTGGATGAGTAATATTTCTGAATTCACTAAAGGTTAATATATTAAAGAAAACATTACATTGTTTTGAAAACTAAATGACCTGGGGAGAAAGTTTCAATTGCTTTTAAAGCTCTGGTAAAGTATTCTTTTCCCAACAGATGAGATTTTTCAGAAAGTTAGGTGAGCTGACTGCTGCTGCCTGTAGGAATTTAAGTTTTGAAAAAAAAATCAGGGACCATTGTAATATAAACTAACATGTACAATATTAGGAAAGGTTAAGATAAGTGACTTTGAAAGTATAATTCAGTTGTGCTTTATGACAGTGTCATCTGCATAGTGAAACAACCAGTGTTTGATTGATAGACTCCAAAAAAGGAGGAGTAATCGGAGGATATTTCAAGACTTAGGTATTTTTTTTTTGAAGATTAGATGAAATTAGCATAGGTTGAGAACTCTTTTATATGAAAGCATGTTGAAGTATAATGTAATGGGCAAAACTAACTTATCTTCAACTTTGAAAGACTGAAATCCTAGGAAAGCAAACCATAAAGAACGGTTTATCGAGAGCATAACAGAAAGATTCTAAATTAATTTGCAAGCGTATCTCCAAAGTGGGTAGCACTGAGTTCTGTAATCATATTACTTCAGAGACGTTCTGGTTCAATGATGGCAATGTCCATTTTAATGTGGGTATTTAAATGGCGGGTCAGAAAGCTACAGCTAACGAAAGCTCTCTGCACCTTGCTTCCTAGCGTGGGTCTGCCATTCAGTTCTCTCCTGAGTACCTGGAGTTTAAATTCTGCTGCTCCCATCCAGCAATCTTGAGGGGGGTCAAAGACTAGAAGGAACAAGGACTTTGGTGCAAAATGATGTGTCCACCCTCATGGCACTGACATTTCCAGTTACTTATTCTATAACCCTTACAGAGGACTGGGGAAAACTGTTTTCCTTTTCCCAGCATAAATTTGTTTGGAAAAGGAAACTATTTCAGACAGAAGAAAATGCACCAAGAGTGTAATCTTCATCCATGATGTAGAGTTCCTGGGTGCTTTTGTTGATTTTGTTTTCCTGTAGTTGTTAATAAGAATGTAGCTCCAATGTGGACAGAAGTCCATAATCCTAAATTTCGATTTAGTTAAGAAACAATGCTGAAACATCGGTTAAACAAAAATGTATGCTTATGCCCTATGTTAGTTGACCCCAGAAATGATACTAACTTTCTTTCTGAGACTCTTCTTCACTATCTGAAGGTTGTGATTGCTGTGGCGAGATATATTTTCCACTCAAAGCATTTACTACGTGATGCTGTATCGTAATGGTTCCTATGAACAATGGTTCCTGTCTCACTAGATTATTAGCTGCTTGATAGCAGAACTGTGTCCTGTTAACATTGCCTTTCTGGTACCAGTACAGTGGGAAGCAAGAATATTCATAGCCAGTGTTTACTGGATTTCCTTTTTCTGAAATGGCCCTATTCTTTTCCCCCTCACTTATCTCTTACCCATTTCTCACTTTCTTTAGGTACTCTCCATCTGTCCCAAGGACATGAGAGCGGATATCTGTGTTCATCTAAACCGGAAGGTTTTTAATGAACATCCTGCTTTCCGACTGGCCAGTGATGGGTGCCTGCGTGCATTGGCAGTAGAGTTCCAAACCATTCACTGTGCTCCTGGGGACCTCATCTACCATGCTGGAGAAAGTGTGGATGCCCTCTGCTTTGTGGTGTCGGGATCCTTGGAAGTCATCCAGGATGATGAGGTGGTGGCTATTTTAGGTACTGTGAACTTTTCTAATGTAGTAACAAACGCATAACAAATTTAGCGATTTTGCTTCTCAGGTTTCTAAACATAAATTTTCTTTGTTTGGTGACTGTGGAAATTGGGCCACTAATGAGATGATGAATCTTAATGGAAACAATAGTGCTGGCTCAGCAAGGGACATTAGTATTGGTCACAGCCTAATGGGCTGCGCGAGGGTTTGATTAAACTTGGGCAATAGCAGGACAGCCCCTTTAAACTAAAGTTGATCACAGTCTAGGGTGCTTTTAATTGTAAGTTGGGTTTCCAGTGATTGTTGGGTTAGTAAACAGGTAGTCAGTCTATATGGCCACCTCGTTCAACCCTTTCCTTTGGAGGAGAGCCCAGAAAAGCTCTGTGACTTGCCCAACTAATAAGTCAGTGGCCTAGGGCTAGAGCACAGATCATCTTGGTACTGTGTTGCCTTGCTACACTGGACCTAAGTAATGAGAGAAAAGGTGCTGAAGAGGTTAATGGGCCTGACCTATTATGTTGGAGTAAGTACAATGTAAGTAAATTAGATTTAGTCTCATAAAGTTGGTTCTATCCATCCATCTCCATAAATAAGGAAAATTATTTGGCTAATAATAAATTTATTGTAAAACTAAGAGCCTCAGTAGATGGTTGTTTTAAGAACAGTAGCACAAAGGTAGTGACAGTGCAAGTATGTGACAAATTTTAATAATTTACATATTTGGGAATACTGTAAGATGCATGTCTTGGTGAAAGAGTTGTTGAGTGAATTTTTAGATCACTTTCTGCTCAAACATCTGCAGCAGGTTCAAGAAATACACATAGCTATAAAGAGAAGCAATAACAAGGTCAGAGGAGAATCACTCCTTGCTTTTTCCTCAGGTAAAATAAGTTAGAATTGCAAGATGTCAACTCTGTTTTGATCACATTTTTCATGGCTTGTGTCTTGTGAAAAATGCGCTTCATCTTTAAACTATTGGATTCTTAGCTACTGAGATCAACTTACCGTAGCTAGAATGCCACTTATTCTCATACGAAAAAAGATTGACTGATGGAGTTTAGAAAACTGCAAAAGCAAAACTGATTTCAAATCCAACAAAAAAATTAAAAAAAGTGACTTCAAAAAGCACAGTCACTTGAAGAGGACAGAATTCAGAATTGAGAAGAAATGACCTTTGATAGGAAAACTTTCTGTAAAAATTGAGTGATAGGAAATGGTTCAGGGTTGCAGATGAATGAACACCATTGTTTGTAAACCTTTCCTTAACTGTTTCTAACTAATATTACAGTTACAGTTAAATTCCTTCTAGAAATTATTTTTTGAAATATGTTGGCAGGGGCCTGGAGCTGTACTTCAATGATAGAGCGCTCGCTCTGGGTTCTATATCCATCATTGAAACATAAAAACAAACCAACAGAAAAGAAAACAGTGTTTTAGAATCAGCACCATGGGTATGATTAGTGCTAGTTAAGACTTGTTCTGCTTTGTTTTCTGGAATATAACAAAATGTAGATGAGCCTTCATCAGTGAATTTATGTCACTAGAATGCTCCTAGATGGTAAAATGAAGCGTGCCCGTGCTACAACCATTCTTGTGTGCATAAAGAGGAGGACAAGGCAAGCCTTGAAAGGATGTGTTTTACTCCCCTGAAGTCCATGTCAGTGAGGAGTGGTGGGAAAGCGGACCTCGATACATTACAAGAAATTCAGTGCGGTCACCTCGCATCACCCAGCTGCAGGCTCATCGTCATGTGTTTTGCCCTCTTTTCTTCATTACGGCTGTACCTTGGTAACTCCTTTCATGAAAGAGGGTTGGAGAAAGCACTGAGTATAGAGCTTCTGGGCTGTGTCTGCTAAAATGGAATCATTTGCTCAGCGAGACAGACAAAATGCATTTTCCTTTCATTTTAAAATAAAATGGCAACTGATTTTTGCCCAATGAGACAGTAAAACTGAACACAGAGGCCCTGGGTATTAGACTAGTCTCATCACATATCTGTCACATTTTATTTCTTTGAATGTGTGCTTTTTGTTCTCTTTCCTCAAAAAAATCTCAGGATTCTGAGACTTTTCATACCTTGGCTTAATGAGTTAAATTATATGAGCATCTTGCTGACAACCTTCTTTCTTTTCTTTCCTTTTTTTTTTTTTTCCTATTGGACTCTAAGAAAAGATGGTTCAGCCAAGAGGAAGTAAAATTAGGATTTTTTAAACATTGAGATTGCTTAACAATGCTTTAAGAAAAGGAGAGAAAAGGGCTGGGATTTAGCTCAGTGGTTCTGCCACCTGCCTCTCAAGTGCAACATTTTAAAGACTATCCCTTTGTTTCTTGGTCTGCATTTTTTTCTCCCTCTTATTTTGAGTAGCTTGATTTTGAAACACTTACAAGCTTAAGAAACATTGCAAAAATATCAGGGTATACACTGTGACCTGTCTATTTTTAGGTTCTACCTTAATGTGTAACTTGATTAGATTTTCTTACCTGTACTTATCAGGCTTTCCTATCTCTCAGACTTATTCATTTGCTAGTGGAAGGTAGAGAAGGCAGGTTGTTTTAAAATTAATTGGAATCTCTGAATCCCGAAACAGGTGCAGTTCTATTCTTTTGGATCCTTGCCTCCATACAGGCTCTTGGAAGGTGAATAATTCTTTGGTGTGTCAAAAGTGCTAAGGAGTTTAATGAATAAGTTCTGAAGCATAACTAATTAATGGAAAGATAAAAAGTGTAGTCAACAAATACTTCCTTTTTTAACACTGGAGGATGAATTCAAGATGTTTTTCTAAATAGAGCATCTGAATATAATTGCAGTTCATGTCTTTTATCGATTGAAGTTCTTGCAGTTGTTACACCTCCCACCCTTCTTTTGACCTTCCTACTTTTTATAAAACACAAAGAATTCCAAATTAAGTCCATGATGCATACATAATATTTTATATTCTTTAATATCTTCTTACTTTTTAGTTTCTACTATATAATTACTTAATGTGAGCAGATTCATTGGTGAGGTTGTTATAGCCAGGTTACTTCTAAATGTCTTGACAAGTATATTGTACCTTTCAGAGATATAAAAATAGCATTACCCCTATAACCATAGACCATACTCCTAACACATTTTTGTATTCACATTTTGTCTTTCCTGTCTTTGTTGATCATTAGAGCTATAGGGGTAGAGTTCCTACATTAGACAATCTCTATCCTAAGCCTTTTAATTATAACTTCTAATTCCCAAGAGAGCTATGCTTGTTTATGTAGTATTTGATAGAAATGCTAAATGCTGTTATAGGCGTGGTAGAAGGAGGTGTAACAGATGCAAGAAAAGACAGAAATTAAATGGACGTAATAAATCAAGTTTTTAGCACTTATGTCAAGATCCTATTTTAGTTAGAACTAGTTATTTAAAGTTCATCTCTGTTAACATTTGTGTACTATCAGAGGGAACTTATAAATGATGATTCTCAAATTTGAAATCTGCTTCTTTTACTTATTCCAAAAGGAAAAAAAAAACCTGAGCTGTGAATGAATAATATTTTTCTATTTGAAACATCTGTGAAAATGTGACTTTTATGCAGTGGTTAAGATTTTTCTTGTATAAACTTGCTATTAGGAGTCAAGTGCTTCACACTTTAAACAATTTAAAGGGCTTTTCCAAAGTTACAGAGTATTTTCTTTGGTTTCACATTTCTTCAATGTTTCGGATGCTGAACTATGAAAACTGTATATCTTTTAAGAGTTTCTCAGCCTTAAAATGGTTTTGATAATGCACACACATACAATCCTGCTAGCCTAAGCTTGACTTCAAACTCTCCCCAGCAACTTTCAAAACTACATCTTTGTTATTGTTTTTCCTTGGTGTCTCTTAATCTTAGCTTTAATGTTACTTACCATGACAGATACCTTAAAACTTTGGTCATTAAGTCATGACTCCCCTCTGGAAGACTTGCTTACAATCTGTCCTCAGCTTCAACTTCTAATTCTAGATAATGCTGCCACAAAAATGATTATCTTAAAATGTATTTCTTTCCTCATTATGAGGTTTTCTATCATGCCTAGCACCTGAAGGATGAAATGTAACTTCTACCATGGCCAAACAGTTATTTAGGTCTTAGTGTTTGCCTTCTGTTCCAGCCTGACTTGAGCCATTCCTTTTTCTACCACATTCCAACCATATTTAATTTCAAGAAGCTTTTTGAGTTCTATCAAGTTCTTTCTGACTGCTTTTGAATACACTGTTCTCTTGTTCAGATTACTTTCTCCATTTGAGTTTTGTGTCTCTTGCTTCATCTTCTTTTAGTCTTTCCTCTGTTGTCCTCATTGGGTTATATGCCTACATTCTGTGCTTATATAGAATTTGTAGCACAACATTAGTCTGCTTTATCACTGTTGGACACAACACCAACACCTATAGTTTAAAGTATGAGAGGTTTAATTTGGCTGAAAGTTTCAGAAGATTCAACTCATGGTCATCAAGATCCAGGGCAGAAAAAAACACTGTGGAAGGTGTGGCACAGCTGCTTCCTTCATAGTTGCCAGGAAGCAGAGCAGGAGGATAATGCTAGAGAGGAAAAGCCAAGGGCCCAGACATAGATCCCATGGCCCTGCCTGCACGAACCACCCGTATACACCTAGAAGTATGCTATACCAATCCCTGCGGTAGATCCCAAAGAAAATCAAGTTGACTCTCTACACTGACCACCACATCCCAATTCTTGTCAACTTCATACCCAACAATATCTCCTTAAACTGTACTTAATCTCCAAATAAAGACAATAACAAGTTTATAATTCTGCCTAACATAATACACCTATGTTGCATACAACTGGAAATGTTCTTTTCCCAAAGTTTCAAGAGCTGCAACAGTTTTCAAAAGTCCAGTTCTCTTCTGAGGCGAAAGGCAAACTCTTATTCATGAATTTATGTTTTAAAAAGTTATGTAATCCTATGGTACAGTGAAACAGGGTCAATGCTCCCATTCCAAAAAGGGGGGAATAAAGAGATAGAGAAGAG